AAATTACTCATCCACATTTACGAAATTGCCCTTATCACACCCAAATCCGGGGAAAATCGACGCTTGACAACACTATTAACATTCCAAACATCACCCTAATATTTAAACGTTGAACAACATCAATTTCTGAACCCGGTAAATTAACAACATATCAAATCTGAACTTAGCTCTTTATTGCCATATGAACGTTATACTCTTTGGCGAAGACGAAAGGGACGATCCCTTGAGGGAGCTCGACATGTAAAATTGCGATGTGGAGGAGATGGCCTCGTAAGCCAATAGCAATGGAAGCCGCAACTATTACTGTTGGGCCCGTTAGAAAACGCATGACCATGATGAACGCTGCAATCAAGGTTCCCACATGCCGGAGCACCATAACTAAACTGGTGCAGTTTCAGTCATGGAGACCTTCCGATAACTGAATCGGTGCATTGTCAGTCATGGAGCCGACCACACAAGACCAGGAGGACCACAAGAAACGTGATGGTTGGTCCCATATGTCGGTTTTCTTAACATTTTTTGTCTTAGTCATTGATGAAAGGAAGGTATTTATTGAATTTTTAAAAAATAGAGGGGAGGTTTTTGCTAAAATGAAACTATAGGGAAAGTTTTTATGATTGTAAGAAATATTAAGGAAGGTTTTTGTATTTTACCCTTATTTTAAAGTTTAATAGAGATAATTTGGAGAGAAATTTTATAATTTAAACTTTTTTTAGATAGAATTTTATAATTTTATAATTTTATAGTTTAAACATATGGGTAAGAGAGAGATTTTAGATAAATTTTCATGAGGAATGAGAGCATCTCATTGGTTCTTTAAAAAATGACATGGAATAAAAAAATAAAAAATTCAAAAAAATGACAAAATTTCTTGACCACATTGTTTTAATATATATACTAGTGGGGACCCATGCGATGCACGGGATTTATTAAGCGAAAGATAAATAATAGAAATTATCATTTACTAAAATACCCTTATAATTTCATGGATTTACTAAAATCTACCCTATAGTTGGCATTTTACTAATACACCACTTACAATTTGCAATGGAAAATGATAGTGTTGACCCTAATGTTCATTTAAATAAATTATAAAAATATCATTTTTTCCCTTAATAAGACAGATAACCACTATATTGGCTATATTTAGCCGACTTTGTTTTTTGTATAAAAAAGTGTTAAGGGTATTTTTGGAATAAAAATTCATGGGCCTAATGGAAAAAAAACACTCCTTTATGAAAGGTCGATTAAGTAAAAAAGTTGTAAAATATATGGGATGTTTTAGTAAAATGAAAACTATAAGGTAGGTTTAAGTAAATATATGAAACTATAAGGTGTGTTCTAGTAAATGACCCTAATAGAAACACATAAGAATATACAATTGTTTTATATTTTCAACTTTTTAAATAATTAATAATTATCCATATTTTATATACTACTTTTAATGAACTTTTTATAATACAAAAATAACAATAATTCATTTCAGTTAGTTTTATTCATCAAACTTATGAAAATGACCAACCCAATCAACTCAACTCGAGTTGGTCGATTTTCTAGTATTTTATGTCGGCTTTGATTCAAAAAATTCCCAATTCGACCAAGTTGGATCAATTTCACTTTGGCCATTTGTAAACCAAACAAAATTGAAAAACCTAACCATGGATATATATTAATATTTTATATTTTAAATATGAAAAAGTGAGGAATTTCCCATATTTCTTAGTCTAAAATGTTTTATATCATAAATCTAATTTTTAAATTTATTCTTTTTAATAATAGCACTGTAATTTTTAAAATTAAATTAAATTTTTAAGTTTAAATCTTTTGGACCGACTGACCTTTTGTGAAAGCCGACCCAAACCGATATAACTTCAGTGGGTCAGTTTTCAGAAAAGGTCAATCGGTTTCAGCTGACCAACTCCCCAACTTGACTAGGTCAATTTAATTGGCCAAATAGCCTATGGCCGGACTGAACCAACTCATGAACACTCAAAATTTTAGCTAAATTAATAGTCATATATTTGATAAATAACAATATTTTAATCTCCAATAATTATTGAAAATTTATAGTGAATGAATAAAGTACATAATTGATTCATGTCATTGTGGTGTGTTTTTGTGTAATACCCTTAAACTGGACACTTATGAGACTCGTGTTAGTTTAGAATCTTCACAGCTGTTGGATAGATCTGGGAAGATTTATCCTGTCAATGCTAACACTAATGTGCCACCAAGTTGGTTGGGGTGGCTTGTCTCAGCTGCCAGGGTGAGACCTGAGGTACATGTAGTGTGGGTTTTCTTGAAACCCTAAACCAGACCAAAATTTCAGTATTGCCCTAGACCTTGGAAATAGATGGGCAAAACTGGAATGTTACACCTGACACCTAGACTCGATTATGATACTGCACTAGGTGTCGGATTGGGCTATCTTTGATATGCCAATCAGTGAGATCCTTAGAGGGGGTCAAAACCTGAGTATGTTGGGACAGTTCGAGAATTCATTTGAGTGGGTGATCATAGTGACAAGACCAACCCCTTTGTCAGACAAAGTGAATGATCAGGGATGCACTCTCTCTGATGGAAACCAAAACTGTCGGTAGTCGATTTCAACCGTTGAAATTTGTTTTGAATATATATATATATATATTATGGTTTCAAAATGTTTGCAACCGATTTAGAGGTCATCTCTTGTCGGGCAGTGTTTGATCATTATGGGCTGAGATGTTAAGTGTAAGACCATTGAGGATAATACCTGATGGGCTAATCTTGCATCTGCCCACAGTCCTTGGGTTTTTATAAGGTGGCTTGACCCATGACCATTTAGTGTAAATGTTGGGCCCATTAAGAGCCCATGGTGATGGACTCAGGGGTTCACTGTTTCCTACAATGAATTCGGCCAGGTCTTGTAACAGATGCTGGGCTGAACCCATGTGACTGATGTGTAGATCAATGTTTGGGTTCCACGCCATATAAGGATAACCAACTTAGCAGCAGTTGGAAAGTTAAGTGAGCACATGGGCCTAAAGCCCAATTCGAATTAGCTTAATAAGATTAATTGATTAGGGGTGGTTCTAGGATTTAGATCAACAGATAGGATAAGGGATTATCCCTATCCACTTAGAGAGTCCAGATCCAAATAAAGATTTGGATCAAGAAACTCCTAATTTGATTAAGAAGGCTGATCTTTATCTACGGATAAGATAAGGGATTATCCTTATCAGTTAAAGAGTCTAGGCCTTGTAACAAAGGCTAGGCTGAACCCATGTGGCTGATGTGTAGATCAATGTTTGAGTCCCACGCCATACAAAGAGAGCCAACTAGGCTGCTTAAGAGGTTAAGTGAGCATATAAACTTAATGGGCCTAAAGCCCAATTTCGAACTGGGTTAATTAGATTAATTAAATAGGGGCGGATTTGGGTTTGGATTAGCAGATAAGGATAAGAGGATAAGTCTTATCCACTTAAAGAGTCCAGATCAAAATAAAGATTTGGATAAGGAAACTCCTAATTTGATTAGGATTAAGCTGATCTTGAACTGCAGATAAGATAAGGGATTATCCTTATCACTTAAAGAGTACAGATCCAAATAAAGATTTGGATCAGGAAACTCCTAATTAGATTAGGAGCTTGTCTCTTTAAGGCTATAAATAAGAGAATAGGGTGGACATGAAAAATACACCACAACAATCTACATAGTTCTTCCCTGTTTTTGCCGCCCCTATCTAGTTCGATCTCCACTTGTGGGAGTAATCAAGAATTGTTCTTGATATTTCTTCTTGGTAGAAGAAGCAATCTAAAGTCGTGCTCACCAGCCCTCTACTCCATTCTTGCTGAATAATTCGGTTCTTGCTGAAGAGCCGTCCTATTGAGCCTGTTTCATCTCATACTGTGTTATGTTCAGTAGAAGCAGGTTTTGGTTATTTCCTTGGGTGTAAACACCTTCATTGGGAGTATATCCCTCTCCTCCCTTTTGGTTATTTCCTTCGTATCAAGTATATCCCTCTCCTCCCTTTTAGTTTCAGATCTGGTTGGTTTGGTTCAAGATTGATCATTGAAAATGTAATTTTCTAAAATAGGGAATGCGATTCCCAGATGGGAGAGAAAAGAATTTTTGAAATTTTGCCCAACCTTCCTCCAGGGTTCGGTCATCCTTATGATGAATCTCTCATCCCTTCAAAACTCTCTCCTAATTAGTTTAGGAGGTTGATTTAAAGAAGACTATAAATACGAGGTGAATTCCTCAGTTTTAACCCACAACAACCTGTAGAATTCTCTTCTATTCTTGCCATCCCTACCCAGTTCGATCTCCTCTTGAGGAATAGATCAAGAAAGGTTCTTGATATTATTATTTGGTTGAAGAAACAATTGAAAAACGTGCTCACCAGCCCCTGTTTGATTGTTGCTAAAGAATCTTAGTTCTTACTGAAGAGCCATCTTGTTGATCCTGTTTCATCACACACTGTGTCATCTTCAATGGAAGTGGGTTTTGGTCTTCTCCTTGGGCGTGAATACCTTCATTGGGAGTTACTGCTACTTCGTATCAGGTATATCCCTCTCCTCCCTTTTGGTTTCTGATTTGGTCCAGTTTTAGGTTCAAGATTGATCATTGAAAATGCAGTTTTCTAAAATAGGGAATGCGATTCTCAGATAAGAGAGAAAAATTTTTGAAATTTCGCCCAACCTTCCTACAGAGTTTAGCCATCCATATGATAGATCTCTCATCCCTTCACTTTCACCTCAATACGTCCACATCAACACATCGGGTTGGCAGAATTATATCACTTGATGTGTCTAGTTTTAGGTTTGAATAATATATAATCGCTTTGATTCTATTCTCACATTTATTTTTCTTTCCATTCATTCATTTCAGCATTATGTCTTTCTACTATTCTCTCACTTTTGGATAATTAATTTGCTAGCTACTTGACTTCCTTAAGTACTCTGCCACACGAACAAACATTAATTGCTGATTTGCTGGCCTCACAATTGTTTAATCAAATCTTCTTCCTTGCCTAACAAGGTAATGAGAAGTCACATTTATATTATAATATGCAGCTATAGAATACAAACATTTAGATACTCCAACACCGTACAAAGCTTGCATTTTGGAAATGCATGCTAATCAACATTACTGCTTTTTTATTTATTTTACACAAATGTACGAGATGGCTATTGAGAGTGCCAAATATCCAACTTCACACCGTACGTACATGCTTTATTTTCATTATTCTCTATTTGTTTATTATTATAAGTTTATAACCAGCCACGCTCCTGGAGTCTCCATATGTTTCTACAATGAAAGTCAGAATGCAAAAATTAGTATTCAATTAACATTCCTGATCAGAAAGCTTCAATTCCCACTAAATAAATACAAGGAAATGGTCGATTCATGATATATTTATTGAAGATACACAAGAATAAATTAAAGAAGAAAAATGGAGGGAATTAAAAATTCAACCTGTGAGATAACGCCAATCTTCACACTTTGGTGGGATAGCAAGCCCAGTAGTTGATGTTACATACTCCATATGGCAATATATGGTTTCTTTCTATCAATATATATCCAGACATCCCCCAAGAAGTTCCCCATGAGTTTTTCACTATCCAGAAATCTGTGCCATCTGCTGCTGTTCCATACCCAACTAGCAAAACTGCATGATTTATGTTTCCTGGATCATTTGTTGGGCAACTTACTCCTCTGTATATTCCCTGGTCAATTAATATGCATTTGTTACTAAACTTTCTTCAAGTAGTACTCTATGCATATATAGAAATCTTGGTTAGTCCCCTCTCCTCACAGCAAGTTTGGATTTTTAGGTGGCAAATATAACTTACACTCTTGTATGATTGAAAATCTTGTAAAGCCAAAATGGCTACACTAACTGGTTGTTGGTAGACTTGACAAAGGATAGACTCCTCATCTATATCCACCCATTGATAGCTATTGATCGTTGCTGTTTTAGGCTGTCAACCAAATAACAAAAGGATGAATCGATCTCTTAAATAATTACTCAGTAAATGAATTAAACCAAATCAATAAAAACCAAATTAGTTGTAAAAATATTGTTATTCAAAATTTAAGTTTCTTAAATCTTTTAGCCATAACGACATTAATCAAATGAACAAGAAATGGTTTAAAAGAATGCTAACCGCGTTGGTGTTGCAGACTCCTTCTCTACCAGTATAAGGATACTGGGATTGAGTAGCTATACCCCCATGATTAATGACCCACTGGAATGCCCTATATGGCATACCTCCATTACAAGCGGAATCGTATGAATCGCAGTCCACGAGTTCTTGTTCTGAGAGGCTTAGAAGGTTTTTAGTGACTATGGCGTTTATTCCCTCTATGGCTCCTGTTGTAGAGAATGCCCAACAGCTCCCTGCATGCCAATAATGAAGGGTTGAAGATTGAACATTCTAACGACTAATTGCGCATGGAGATAGAGGAATTAATTAAATGAAAAAGAAAATCAAAACATACCACAGCTTCCCTGATTTTTAACGGTGGTTACAGCTCCCTTGTACCTCCAATCCCAGGACAAAGGATGTGTGCATGTTGAGTTCAATCTCTTTGCACTTGCCTCGAACATGTTCTCTTGACGAGGATCCATCTTAGAAAGATAATTCCGACTGAACTCCTCAAAACTCAAGTCTGAGAATTGATTGAGCCCCGCAGTATGATCAGATGGATTTCTCTTGGAGTTCCAATCAATTACATGGGCCAAGTTGCTTTGAAATATCTTGAATCTCCGTTGTTTATCCTCTAAGTTGTTGTACACCTTTCTATGTTTCTCCATCCATCTCTCAAAGAGCAAAGCAAGCCCCTCCTCTGAGATTACTTCATCAGGGTCAGAACCCACGATGGAATACTCACTGGGGAGCTGGCTTAAACTTGGGCTCACAATGGACAAGGCCACCAACAAGGAAACAACGAAGATCAACTGGGTTTTGAGACCACCCATTGAACACTAACGTGTGAATAACTATAATATGATCAATCAACCAAAAAGAGGAGTTCTGGTTGTTTTATGTTGTTTCTGCTGCTATATATAGAGCAACTCGATAATCCCTCCACCTCCCATTTAATCTTTCCAGCGGACATTGTCACATTCATATATAATTAATAATCTTGTACTATTTTCATAATTTCAGAGAGCTTCGCCATGGATTAATGTCTTATTGACGTCACTTCTTCCTTGTAGGTAAAGTCTCATTATTTTGCAAACTTTAGAATAATATTAAAGTTTTTGTCATTTTGGTATTAAATACGGGCTATAGATTTGGGGGGAACAACGTAACCTAATGTCTTTTTATTTATTTATTTATTTATTTATTTTTTGGTAACATAAGAATATTCTATTTTTTAAGACTTGGAGTGCTAGAATACGTTATGCTATGAGAGTTTGGATCTGCTGACCACAATACATTGCTGACCACAATACATTGCTATGAGAGTTTGGATCTGCAAACATGTATACATCAGAACAGTTTAATTTCCTACGACTATTACAGCTTACAGGTTTCATCTATAGGACCAATCACCAATCACAGATTGAGCTCGAATTTATGCTATATTTGATTTGAAGGAAAAGGTACGGAAAGGAAGGGAAAAGTAGGAAAACTTTTACAGGTTTCCCTAATTTTCCCTACTATTTCCTTCAAACCGAGCACAGCCTTAGGGAATAGGGTTTGGTTTTAAATGAGCCCATCTTACCATGAAAATGTGGGGTATGAGAATTATTAGCCAATTAGAAAAAAAAAACTGATAAACAGCTTTATATTCTACTCTAATTAATTAGTGCAGTGAAACCAATTATATTCCCTCTGTATTAGTAATTACATGGTGGGTTGGGCAATGGCATTACATAATCGATGGATATGTCTATTATCATTTCACACTTGTAAATGCAGCTTAGAATGCCCCATACGACACATATTATTGCAACCTTTAATTTATACTAATGATGAATTGAGAGTTCAATGGACCACCTTGTCCTCCTGATTTCTTATCAATTGTGTTACTTGAATGACTCTTTACAAACAATGAGATTGAATGAAAGCCTCGCTTCTTGATTGGCATTCAAAACCCCTCTCTCTCTCTCTACACATTGAAGAAGATGATCTAGTTTTAATTTTAAAATATTTGCAACTGTCAGTTCTGCAAACTGCACGTTAGCTAGCTTGTTTTATTATTTTAATGTTGGATGAACATAGAAAATTAGATTGTATGCATCTCAGTTCAGATATCGAACTTACTTTTTAATTAAATAATTAAGCATTAAAATAAAGGCAAATTGAGGGCACCTTAGAAGCTCAAACCACTCACTGTTTCACCTTGACAGTTGAGAATGTGGATATTAAGCCTAATCCAGTAGATTCCTCATGAGACAACTTTTATATAGAGCTTGTGAGATGAATTTAGTCTTTCAGTTTTCGATTCAATCAGTTTTCTGCGCATGATATTCACTCTACCATGGGATTAAAAAACTTTGACATATATATAATAGGGGCAACTTGGGCCGGGTTGGCCCGAACCCAACCCGAAAAAGTCGGGTTGGGTTGGGCCGGGTTGATGATCGGGTTAGGGTTAGGGTTGAAATTCTTGAACCCGACCTTAGTTTGGGTTGGGTTAGGGTTGACCCCTCGAGCAACCTAACCCAATTCGAACCCGACCCCCTATAGTACTAGACTACTAGTCTACAACTCTACTACATATTGTCATATATATATATATATATAGGGGGGGGCTATACAACTATCATGTATCTAAACAAATCAGTGTGTATATACATACTATCATGCCTTTCTTTAAGTTATTCACAGGTACTTGACTACTTGTCTTTTCCTTTTGTCTTGTAATTTTTATGTGTGATCTATCAAATAAATTCAAATTATTTGTTTGATCTTATGAATTGTTATTAGGGATTTTATTTCATAATTTTATTTTACATTTCATTATTGTTGATTTCATGAATTTATATTTTTGAGAAAAATTCTATCATAGGTCATAACTCATGATAAATAAATACTTATTTTTCTACTAGATTTTAAGAGATGGGAAGGTTGGGTTAGGCCCAACCCGAGCCCAACCCAACGCGAAGTTGACATCGGGTTGGGTTAGGGTTGAAGGAATTAATTAGGGTTAGGGTTAGGGTTGAATAGGTCGGGTTGAAGGTCGAGTTGGGTTAGGATTACGGTTAGAGGTTTAGAACATAGGGTTGGGTTAAGGTTGTCCTCAACCCGACCTAACCCGGCCCGACTTACAGCCCTAATATATAGGAGGTAACTTAATTATAATCAATACTTTTTTACCTTTGGCGAGAATCTGTTTTAGTAGGGTATATATATTTTCCCTTTTCTTGGCAAAATAAAAAAATCTGAAATATTGTAACTGTGTATTTGAATTTATGATACATATACAATCTTGTGGGTGTACCCAATGTCCATTATATATTCTTTGCAGCAATTGCTTGAGAGTTTAGAACAAAGTAATATAGATATTTAAAGCAGTTAATATAATAATATGCACTTCTCATATTTGTATCTGATTGGATGTGCTTGGTTCTTTGGTTAGACAGATATAAGTTGATGAATTGATCTGAAATACAATTAAATATTTCTTTAGGGCTCTTTTCCCTGTGATGGTTCTGTCTCATACTGCCATATAATGGGTATTACTTCCATGGCTCACGGGATATAAATTATGATGTATATTAGTTTAGATTATATAACATCTTATAAGTACAATATGACTAGAAACTATTGGGTACTTGTGTTGACTTGACTAATTTTCATTTTTTATAGGTAATCAGAACATGACAATTTTAAATCATATTATACCATGAGTGCTTTTACATGAACGTAATCTGCATTAAATATTTTGAAGAAGCAATTAAAGGTGTATAGTCCATCCACCAAAATTGGCATGATCATATAATTTTAAAGCATTTCATTTTTTACTTGGTTTACCATCAAGTTCAGCTTAATTAGGTCAGGTTTCCTGAAGTTTTAGATGGTGTTTGGTACGGTTTCTAGTTATTCGATAAACAGTGCCAGTTCATGGCTATGTAGGTGTTTGTCCCAAAATGTTATTTTGTAAGTCTGTTTATTAGATAAACGTTTGTCTTGGTTTACGAGTAAATCAACCGTTAGAAAAAGTTTTATTTTAACATTTCTCCCAACATCAAGGTGTTTATTTATTGTTCCTCTTATGTGGCTCAACTAACAGTAGAAAAGTAGACAAACGTTTATCAACCACTTTTCCTCTGTTTTAAAGATAAATCAAACACAAACATTTATTAAATAAACAGAAATCATACCAAACATCCCCTTAATGTGTTTGTCGTATATCAATAAAATTAGTCATGTTCGTGTTGCTCAAGATAACCTGTTGAATCTCTAAAAATATATATTTGACATGGCCACTTCACCAAACAGAACTTAGGAGACTCGGTTTTCTGTTTTCTATAAATAGAATCTATCACAATCAAGAATAATATGATTGCTTACATAATAATATTAGGATTTATAATATTGAGAAGATGAGGATGAAGACATCTTATATAGTAATGAATTGATAGAGTTTGAGTTTGGAATGCAATATGACTTGATTAGAGCAGCTAATTATAAGTGCTTCACATGTTTTTTGTACATAAGCTATACAATCTTATGATCTTCTCATAACACCGTAAAAAATATTTTGTTATCATATAATTTTAGATAAGAAAATGTTTACAAGTAAACATGTCATCACTTGGCATGTATTACTGCCCGTTTGGGAGGGCTGAGGCGCATGTGTATTAAAGTACAGACAATTTATTTGCAAAACTCAAAATTTAAAACTCTTGTTATGCTTAAGTCTTGAGTCATAATCAGACCAGCTTTGAATGCTTTTACCTTTATAATTTCAGTTATTAATTTAAGCAATTATTTTTTTGTTAGTGGTAATTTCATAATAGAATATAATTTTACAACCATGACATATCACTCTTATTTATTAAACTTGGTATATTTTAAATTTTGAGAACTTTCACTTGATCATTAAGTTTGCTGAGATATGCATGTATATTTTAATTATTCTTCGATTTTTCAATACTTCCAGGGGATATTCTAGTAGTTTACATTTTACATAAAGTCATAAATTATTAAAATACATGTTTCCATTGTATCTAAACCTTTATTACCAAAAAAAATGTATCTACAACATTAAATTGCCTCTTGGATATCTTATTATATATGTCAATTTCCATGTTATATTTATGAATATCTTAATTTTCCCACTGTATATCCATGTGCATCCAAAGCATATTCAAATATGTTTATTTAAATTTCCTCTTTGATATTCTTTGTGTTTTCAGATACTTTGAATTTTGTACCTAATTTTGCATCACATAAATAAAGTCAATGTCCCTATTAAGTAAAAATGGTGTGCTACGCCAGTGCTAAAGATTCTTATAATGGTGTGCAACACAACACAAGGGTTTGAATCCTCTTTCAATCCCTTTTATTGTGTATATTTCTTCTTAAGGGAGGGGTTGCAATGGAGTGTGTGTGATGGTGACTCACAAGTCACAATTAAAGCATTTGATCAGTATTACACCTTCAATTCTCCTTTGGGTGCTTTGGAAGGAAAGGTGAAATCATATTCTTGAAGCTAAAGGTTTTTCTACCCATTCTCTCATTACAAAAATTTCTAAACGGTTAATGGACCTATATTCTATATAATAAGTTCCAAGAGAGAAAGGCAGAGATCTTGCCAGGAATGGCAATGGGGCGGGGCAGGGACGGGGAGCCTCTATGATAATTTAATTAAATATTTATTTTAATCATAGAATTAAAGAGATTGAAATCAAAAGTGGTAGCTCCTTACTTGGTGAAGCTATGATTGGTAATGTGCATCTTCCATGAAATTTAACATATAACATGAGGAATGTAACTTACAATCTAAGTTCATGCATATTCTTAGAGATTGTAATATATGTATTGAATTCCTAGTAAATCTGGGAGTGGAAGAGGAGAGATTCATAGTTTTTTGAGGAAAGGATCTCC